GAGCACTTCCTTCCTTGTGAAGACCATGTTTCCTGGGCAACTATCCTAACGTAGGCTCAAATAAAACTCTCTTTCTACTTTTAGAGATTCTGAAAATTTGCTAATTTTGCATAGATAATCCAAAGGAAATGCAATGAATATTTCAAAAAGATATGTGCACTCCCATTGCAGCATTATTCACAAAAGCCAATATACGGAAGCAACTTATTCAACAATAGACAAATAGATGAATATATACATACAATGGAACGTTAATCACTCTTAAAGAAGGAAACTCTGCCATTTGCCACAGCAAGGATGAACATAGAAAACATGTTAAATAAAATAAACCAGACACAAAAGAATAAGTACTAAATGTTCTTGCTTATAGTGGAATTCAAAATAGAAGAAGAGAGTAGAATGGTGGTTGCCTGGAGCTGGAGTGGGGGGGAAATGGGAAGATGCTGGTCAAGAGGTACAAAGTTTCAGTTATATAAGATGATTAAGTTCTGGAGATCTAATGTACAGGAATGAGAATAGGATTAACAATACCGTATTGTACATTTGAAATTTGCTGAGGGTAAATCTTATGTGTAATCACCACAAAAGGAAAAAAATGAAATTATGTGAAGTGATATATTAATTAATTTCAAAATAATTTGGGGGAGGGTGGGTAGAGATATCAATGAAACAAGATTAGCCACATATTGATAACTATTGAAGCTGGGTGATAGGCTCATAAGAATTCCATATAGCATTCCTTCGAATTCTGCATATACTTGAAGTCTTGCATAAGAAGTATTCTTAAGGGATAAGATATTAATAGAGGGAGAGAGTGAGTCAGTGTCTATCACAAAGTAAGCAGTCCCTATTCCTGAGGATGGTGCCCTTCAGGCAGGCAGGTTTCCTTTCCTCCACTGCTGTTTTATTATCTTTTTTTATTTATTTTATTTATTTTTCTATAATTTATGTTTAAAAGCTTCAACATAGTGTAATGTCCTGATGTTCATCGGTGTCAACAATTGCAACTACACCATCATCTTATGGATCACTTTATTGTCAAATTATATAATATTTTAAAGATATTTTAAATAGAAAGTAAACCCGAGAATGAACATAATTTAACCAAAATGACTATAATATGAATGGCTATGACCAAGTCCATGCATATAAAGTTTATGATAAATATATCCAAACTGCTCTGCTTCCTGACAACAGTAATTTTTCAGAAACCATTGATTCTAAGATGCATTGAAAATTCAGGTTAAAACTTGAAAAAAAAGTGTCCCTTGGAATTGATAAAATTTGATATATGTTTGTTAGTTTTCATGTATAATCCAGGATAGGTTAGTTATGATTTTAGCATTCTAATTGTAAATACATACAAATTTAAGAGTGATTAATCAGTATTTAAAAAACTAACCAGAAGGCAGAGGAGCTACTCTAAACTTCAGCTAACTACATCTCTAATCAACACCAGGGGCTTTGTGAATTAGCATCATTAATGGCAAAGTGATTTCTCATTGCTTAGATGTGTCAAGTTATACGGACTAGCTACAAATATTGTATAGATACTCTCAAACTTGCATAGACAGGTTAGAAGAATAGAGCAATGGTTAATCATAACATTAATAAGGTAGACCAACGAATTTGCATCTTTAGATGTGATATTGCATAAGGGACACAACATTGTCTATTATGTTTTCTAGCCAAAATATAGTTAAATTGAATTAATCTTGTCTTTAAATATACTGTCTATAAGAACTGAAGAAAATGGAGGAACAAGCTAAAAATATGGTACTGAAGAAAGTAAAAAAACAAACAAACAAACAAAATAGTAAGACTCCCCAGGACAAGGGTGGATCTTGGCTCTAATGCCATCAACAAGCCACAAAGTCATGAAAAAAAGCCCGAAACTGATGGGGAAGAGAAGGCTAGCTGAGGACAAGGCAAAAGCTACCCCCTGCAATACCACCCTCCCCCATACACATTCCTGGGTGGGATATGTGTGACATTCCTCAGGCACTCTTGGCTGCCCTAAAGCTAAGGGAAAGGAAAAACAAATACTTAATTTATAGAGATCATGAAGAAACCTCCCCCCTTGTAAGTAGGGCCAGCCCTAACCCAGAGGCAGCCCATCCAGCGCCTTCCTGAAATTTTAGCAACTAAAAGCATTCTGTTCACAATAAGAAAACCATTTCCCCCCACACCCTGATTGGAATGTCCCTGAATAGGTTCATGTTGACCCTCCCGGAAATCAACCTGGATGCTATGCGACTCCCGCGGTTCTTTTGCCTTTAGGCGGTTTCTTTCCTTTTGCCTTTAAAAGATCCCTGTAATTGCTAATCGGGGCTCTTTTCCTTCTCGAGCGTTTGCGCAAACGTTCAATAAACCCTCTTGCTGATTGCATCTGCCTGTCTGGGGTCTGGGTCTCTGGGGCGTCCACCGGGACACGTTGGCACCCGTGAGCCAGGGTCCAACATTTGGGAGCTCGTCCGGGATCTGAAACGCCCCAGACTCAATCCTAAGACCGGCAGGAGGTAAGACCGAGCTCGCTAAATGTCATATCTGTCTCGTCCGTTTGTCTGACTGGCCGGGTCTGTGTTGTGCCGGGTCTGTATTGTGCCTGCAGGACGCTGTACTCTGTATTCTGTATTTGGACCAGCGGGGGAGGCAGACGTGCCCGAGACCCCTGGTCCCCCTCCGGAGTCGGACTCCGGAGTGGTCTGGAAGAGGAACGGAGCCCCGGCACTCCCTCCTCTTCGGGGAGGGTCGTTGTTCGCGACCGCTCCCATCTGAATCTGCCGCGCCAGTCCTGTCGTTCGTGTGCGTCTGTTCGTTCCATGTTTCTCTTCCTTTCCTGTCCTCCTCCTCACCGCTCACCTCTTCTCTACACCCCTGGGGCAGACTGTAACCACCCCTTTAAGCCTCACTCTAGATCACTGGAAAGAAGTCGCCGGCCGGGCACACAATCTTTCGGTCGAAGTCAGAAGACGAAGATGGGTCACCTTCTGCTCCTCAGAGTGGCCGGCTTTCAACGTCGGGTGGCCCAGGAACGGAGCTTTTAATATTGACATTATCTTGCAGCCGACCTGGGATGACCGCCAACAGCTCCTGCAGACTCTCCTCACCACGGAGGAGAGACAGCGCGTCTACCTCGAAGCTCGAGCTCGAAAAACGTCCGGGGGCGGATGGGAGGCCGACCCAGCTGCCTAATGAAATTGAGGATGTTTTCCCCTTGATTCGCCCAACCTGGGACTACGACACTGTTGCTGGTAGGGAGCGGCTCCGTCTCTATCGCCAGGTACTCCTAGCGGGTCTCAAAGGGGCAGGCATCGCCCCACCAATTTGGCAAAGGTACGTGCTATAGTGCAGGGAAAAGATGAGACGCCGGCAGGTTTTCTGCAGAGGTTAATAGAAGGCTATACTGGCCACCGTAGTACAGGGCTCAGGGCAGAGTAAGTCAGGACAGAGTAGGGACCTGGGAGACAAAAGAGGACCACGGGTTGAACGAGACCAGTGTGCCTACTGCAAGGAAAAAGGACATTGGGTTAAAGATTGCCCAAGGAGGGGCCAAACGCAGGGACCTAGAAAAGAAGCCCATTCCTGTTTTGTCCCTAGAAGATGAAGATTAGGGGTGTCAGGGCCAGGAACCCCCCTGAGCCTCGGGTAACCCTTAAAGTGGGGGGACAGCCGGTGACCTTCCTGGTCGATACGGGGGCTCAACATTCAGTTTTAACTGAGGCAAAAGGACCCTTGAGCTCTAAAACGTCTTGGGTTCAGGGGGCAACTGGAGGCAAGTTATATCGATGGACAACCGAACAGAAGGTCCACCTGAGCACTGGGCAAGTAACGCATTCCTTCTTACTGGTCCCAGACTGCCCTTACCCTCTCCTAGGCAGAGACCTTCTTTCAAAAGTAGGGGCCCAGATACATTTTCAGCAAAAAGGGGCCACTATTACTGGCGCAGAAGGGCAGCCCCTCCAGGTACTGACCTTGCGCCTAGAGGATGAACACCGGCTGCACGAGGACTCTCCACCGTCCGTGCAGCCCCTAGATTCTGAATGGCTCACTAACTACCCTCAGGCCTGGGTGGAAACGGCCGGAATGGGACTAGCTGTAAACCAGCCGCCCATAATTATAAACTTAAAACCCTCGGCCACCCCCATATCGATCCGGCAATATTCAATGAGCAAAGAGGCCAAAGAAGGCATTCGGCCACATATACAGAGACTATTACAATTGGGCATTTTAATACCTTGCCAGTCGCCCTGGAATACTCCTCTATTACCCGTAAAAAAAAAAAAACCCGGCACAGGAGATTACCGGCCGGTACAAGATTTACGAGAGGTTAACTGGAGGACAGAGGACATACATCCCACGGTGCCGAATCCCTACAACTTGCTCAGCACCTTACCCCCAAGCCATGTCTGGTATACGGTGTTAGATCTAAAAGATGCATTCTTTCGCCTAAGGTTAAGCTCTCAAAGCCAGCCTATTTTTGCCTTTGAATGGAAAGATCCTGAGACGGGATTCTCAGGACAACTCACTTGGACAAGGCTGCCACAGGGATTCAAAAACTCCCCCACTTTGTTCGATGAAGCCTTGCATCGGGATTTGGCAGATTTCCGAGTTGGCCATCCGGACCTCGTCCTCCTGCAGTACGTGGATGATTTGCTCCTGGCGGCTAGGACAGAACAGGATTGTGTAAAAGGTACGGGGCCCTGCTTGAGAGACTGGGAGAACTGGGGTATAGGGCCTCCGCCAAAAAGGCCCAAATAGGCCAGAGACAAGTGACCTATCCGGGATATCTCCTGGAAGGAGGCCAGAGGTGGCTGACGGAGAGCCGCAAAAAGGCTGTAGCCCTGATCCCAGCACCCACTAATGCCAAAGGACTACGAGAGTTCCTCGGCAGTGCTGGGTTCTGCCGCCTCTGGATACCCGGGTTTGCGGAGATGGCGGCTCCCCTATATCCTCTCACGAAATCCAACACCCCCTACCACTGCGGAAAGGAGCAACAATTGGCTTTTGACAAAATAAAAAGGGCCTTATTGACCGCCCCTGCCCTGAGCCTCCCAGATGTAACCAAGCCTTTTACGCTATATGTTGATGAACATAATGGAATAGCCAAAGGGGTCCTAACTCAAAAACTGGGACCCTGGAAAAGGCCCGTGGCATACTTTTCAAAAAAAAATTAGACAGCGTGGCTGCAGGATGGCCCCCATGTCTCCGAATAATAGCGGCTATGGCAGTCCTGGTAAAAGACTCAGACAAGTTGACTTTTGGCCAACCCCTCACTGTGGTGGCCCCCCACGCCGTAGAGACAGTCATCCGCCAGCCCCCTGATCGATGGCTCTCAAACGCCCGGGTCACCCATTATCAGGCCATGTTACTGAATTCTGAGCGGATACGGTTTGGAACGGCTACATCTCTAAACCCGGCCACCTTGCTTCCAGAAACCGAGTCCCCCTCCCTAGTAATGCATGATTGCCACCAGATCCTAGCTGAAGTCCATGGCACCAGAGGGGACTTGACGGACCAGCCTTTGCCAGATGCTGAAGCAACCTGGTACACCGATGGGAGTAGCTTTCTACGAAATGGTGAGCGTAAAGCCGGGGCAGCCGTGGCAGATGGGAAAGCTGTCATTTGGGCCAGTGCCTTAGAGCCTGGGACTTCAGCTCAAAGGGCAGAGCTTATAGCCCTAACTCAGGCCCTAAGAAAGGCTAAGGACAAAAAGGTCAACATTTATACTGACAGCAGATATGCTTTTGCAACTGCCCATGTTCATGGAGAAATATACCGTAGAAGGGGTCTCCTAACCTCAGCAGGTAAAAACATCAAAAACAGAGAAGAAATACAAGATCTTCTCCATTCCCTCTTTCTGCCGAGAAAACTGAGTATAATTCACTGTCCTGGGCATCAGCGAGGCAATGACCCAGTAGCAGAGGGGAACAGGATGGCCGATGAAACAGCACGGGCCGCTGCACTAGGCCCACAGGCCCTCTCCCTACAAGTACCAGAGGCTGTCCGGACACCGGGGCAACTCTCTCTCGAGTACTCAGACAGCGACCTAGATATCGTCCAGCAAATAGGGGCAAAATATGACGAGCAAATGAAGGTCTGGAAACACCAAGGGAAGACGGTCCTGCCCCAGAAAAGGGCCAAAGAACTGGTGACTCACCTCCACCGATGGACTCACCTCGGACACAAAAAAAATTAAAAGCACTCCTCCGGAGAGAAGGTCAGACCTATTACATTCCCAAACTCCCCTCCCTGATCCAACAGGTAACCGACGCTTGTGTACCTTGTGCTAAGGTAAATACCAAACACCTCAAGATGCCTGAGGGAACCAGGATGAGGGGAGAAAGACCCGGAACTAATTGGGAAGTAGACTTCACCGAAATCAAGCCAGGTAAATATGGTAACAAGTACCTCCTAGTGTTTATAGATACCTTTCAGGCTGGACAGAAGCATTCCCCACCAAGCGAGAAACCGCCCAGGTGGTTGTCAAGAAAATCCTGGAAGAAATTTTCCCCCGGTTTGGACTGCCCAAGGTAATAGGGTCGGACAACGGCCCCGCCTTCGTCTCCCAGGTAAGTCAGTTGGTGGCCAGATTACTGGGGATAAATTGGAAATTACATTGTGCATACAGACCCCAGAGCTCAGGTCAGGTAGAAAGAATGAATAGAACAATTAAAGAGACCCTAACTAAATTGACATTGGAGACTGGCACTAGAGACTGGGTCCAACTCCTCCCTATGGTTCTGTTCCGAGTCCGGAACACTCCCGCGCGCCATGGGCTAACTCCTTACGAGATTCTCTATGGAGGTCCCCCACCAGTAACGGACTTACTAGATTCTGCTATTGACCCTCTTGCTAACACTCCCGGTTTACAGGACAGGCTAAAGGCGCTCCAGATTATCCAGCACCAGATCTGGAAACCCCTTGCGGCTGTCTACCGCCCCGGAGACACAACCGGCCCACACCCGTTCCAGATCGGTGACTCCGTCTACGTCAGGAGACATCAGTCCAGGACGCTTGAGCCCCGCTGGAAGGGCCCATATACTGTACTACTGACCACCCCAACCGCCTTAAAGGTAGACGGCATTGCTGCTTGGGTCCACGCCTCACACGTCCAGCGCGCCCCATCAACGAGCACCGCTGACGCCAGCCAGGACGGACCGGACGAGCCACTCCAATGGAAGCTCCACCGCACCCAAAACCCGCTCAAGATAAGACTTTCAAAAATTGTTCAATGACAGTTGTTATATTCCTACCTCTCCTAGCGCTCTTCACCTCCGCCAAAGGTGACCCTCATGCCCTCAAAAGGTTAACCTGGCAGGTACTAACGTCTGGGGGTGACGAGGTCTGGTCTATAACTAAGACCGCCCCCGTGGGAACCTGGTGGCCTAACCTATATCCTGACCTATGCAAGCTAACCATAGGGGCCCCTAGCCCATGGGACCTAGAGGGATACTTCGACACCTCTAGAGCCCCTAACCAAGAAAGCCCTCCAGGGCGACTGGGATTAGACCCATGGGGAGGATGTGGCACGCCTGACAGAAGGGCCATGCTAAGCACTCTTCCCTTTTATGTCTGTCCCGGGCACCACAGAGATCGCAGGCTAAATCCCACCTGTGGAGGAGGGGAATACTTCTATTGTAAAAATTGGGGGTGCGAAACTACGGGGGATACAGAATGGAGGCCCTCCTCCTCCTGGGATTATATCACTGTCAAGGCTAACTATACTCACCCGACATTTAGCAAATGGAAAACCCTTAATTATGGGCCCTGCCAAGGGTGGTGTCATCCCCTACGGATATCCTTCACGGAGCCCGGAAAAAGGGCTACTCACTGGGCCAATGGATATACGTGGGGACTCAGGTTATACAAAGAAAGAACAGATGATGGTTTTATATTCAGAATTAAACTAAAAATAGAATCCCCAGACCCCGTGGCGATCGGGCCTAACTCGGTCCTCGGGGAACAAAGAGCTGCCACCGGCCCTAGCCGCAGGGAGTGCCGCACCCACTAACTTCGCGGTCACTCCAACCCCTGGGTCGTCACCCAGAGACGGGACAACGACTGTTTAATCTTATCATAGGGGCATTCCTGGCCCTTAATCGAACCAGCCCCGATGTAACTAAATCCTGCTGGCTCTGCCTTGCATCCCCCCCCCTTATTATGAGGGAATTGCTACTTCAGGGACCTATAATAACATCACTAGCACTCAGGGATGCACACCCGACTCCCAACCACAACTCACCCTTACAGAAGTTTCAGGACAGGGAACCTGCATAGGAACACCCCCCCGGGGCTACCAGAGACTCTGCAACACTACCACCCCGATTTTGGGGACTGATTCTTACCTGGAGCCCCAGCCGGGAACTTGGTGGGCATGCAACAAAGGCCTCACCCCCTGTGTGTCGGCTAAGGTTCTAAATAGCTCAAACGACTTCTGTGTCATGGTGCAGATCATACCCAGGGTGTTCTATCACCCTGCTGAAACTCTAGAAAATCAGTATGATAAACATCCCACCCGTTTTCGGCGCGAACCTGTCTCCCTAACCTTAGCCGATATGTTGGGACTAGGGGTCGCTACTGGGGTGGGTACTGGCGCAGCTGCTCTGATCCGGGGCTCACGACGTTATATAGAACTCCAAACAGCTGTAGATGAGGATCTACGGACACTAGCGCAGTCCGTTTCTAAGTTAGAACAGTCCCTCCCCTCACTTTCAGAAGTAGCACTTCACAAACAGGAGAGGCTTGGATTGACTATTCCTGAAAGAGGGAGGACTGTGTGCGGCCCTGGGAGAGGAATGCTGTTTCTATGCAGACCATTCTGGAGTCATCAGAGACTCCATGGCCAAACTCAGGGAAAGGTTAAATAAAAGACGAAGGGACCGGGAGGCCCAGCAGGGCTGGTTTGAAAGCTGGTTTAATCAGTCTCCCTGGTTGACCACCCTAATCTCTACCATTGTGGGCCCTCTAGTTATCCTGCTCCTGCTGCTAACTTTCGGCCCCTGCGTCCTCAACCGGCTGCTCCAGTTCATCCGAGACAGATTGTCTATTACCCAAGCTCTGGTATTAACTCAGCAATGTCGGGCCCTCCAAACTGAAGAAATAAATGTTCCCTAAGATTTTAAGGTTAAAATCAGCCCAAACAAGAGGAGGGAATGAAGAAACCTCCCCCCTTGTAAGTAGGGCCAGCCCTAACCCAGAGGCAGCCCATCCAGGCGCCTTCCTGAAATTGTAGCAACTAAAAGCATTCTGTTCACAATAAGAAAACCATTTCCCCCCACACCCTGATTGGAATGTCCCTGAATAGGTTCATGTTGACCCTCTGTGAAATCAACCTGGATGCTATGCGACTCCCGCGGTTCTTTTGTCTTTAGGCGGTTTCTTTCCTTTTGCCTTTAAAAGATCCCTGTAATTGCTAATCGGGGCTCTTTTCCTCCTCGGAGGCGGAGAGCCCGTTTGCGCAAATGTTCAATAAACCCTCTTGCTGATTGCATCTGCCTGTCTGGGGTCTGAGTCTCTGGGGCGTCCACCGGGACACGTTGGCACCCGTGAGCCAGGGTCCAACAATCATAGTCCTATAGACATGTGTCTCCCTCAGTTTAGAAAATGTCTTAGTGATTTACAAGAAAAAAGCATTCTTATCAATAACCTAATTTCTAGAAGGAAACTCCCAAATATCTTAATGTTAATGCCTTACTAGAGGGAAAAATAACCTTTTTCCTGACAATGGCAAGGCTATCAGTATTTTGTAGGTCCTCTTTAGCATACAAAACTTCATTTGAAAACTCCCTTTCCAGGAATGGATAAAGAAGATGTGGTTTATGTATACAATGGAATATCACTCAGCCATTAGAAACGACAAATACCCACCCTTTGCTTCGACGTGGATGGAACTAGAGGGTATTATGCTGAGTGAAATAAGTCAATCAGAGAAGGACAAACATTATATGTTCTCATTCATTTGGGGAATATAAATAATAGTGAAAGGGAATAGAAGGGAAGGGAGAAGAAATGGGTAGGAAATAACAGAAAAGGAGACAGAACATAAAGACTCCTAACTCTGGGAAAGGAACCAGGGGTGGTGGAAGGGGAGGAGGGCGGGGGGTGAGGGTGACTGGGTGATGGGCAGTGAGGGGGGCACTTGACGGGATGAGCACTGGGTGTTATTCTGTATGTTGGCAAATTGAACACCAATAAAAAATAAATTTATTATTTAAAAAAAAAAGAAAACTCCCTTTTCCCAACTCCCAGGTATATAATTAGCCACCCCTCAAGAGCCCAGGGCACCAGCTCTTCCTGAACAGGTGTCCTGTCTTCCTGCTTTAATAAAATCACCATTTTGCACCAAGGATGTGTCAAGAATCCTTTCTTGGTCATCAGTTCCGGACCTCAGCCCACCAAACCTCACCTATATTCTAAAACCACGTCAAAACTGTGCTATATTTTTGAAAAATGAAAAGAACATAAGTAAATAAAATGTGTGACCCTATATTGAGTATTAGCTTGGACACACTATCTGTAAAGGGCATTTTTGGGTCAACTGGGGAAATGTTAATATTGTCTAGAAAGGTAGAAATTATTGAACTGAAAAAAATAAGTTGCAAAACATCGTAACCTTGTTTTGGTAAAAAAAAAAAGGCAAATGTATGTACATGCACATCTGTGTGTGTATACATACACGCAGAATGATCTGGAAGAAAATGTGCTAATTATTAATAGTCATGATTTTGGATACTGGGAATAGAAACCTTTTACTTTTTAAATGCTTCTGTATTTTCTAATCTCTATAATGTACATTATTGCTTTGGAAGTAATAGAAATGTTTGTTATTACAAAAATAAGAAGACTCTAGTAAGCCTAATAGCCCACACCTTTTAGAATGGTAGGTAGCCCAGGCCTAGAATTACAAAGTGGTCTGGCGTTTTGGCATTAGATCACAGGATTTTATTGCCTGACTCTAATTGTGTTGCTATAATATTATCTAATCTCCCTCCAGTGAACCTTTTATGCAAATGTATTCAAAGCATCTGAAAAGGTAGGGAGCTGGGACTTCATAGAGTTTATAGAAGAGGTTGTTTTTATGTATGAGCCAACAGAATGAAGCCTGAGGCTTGCTTCCATTGTAATATTCCTCTGATAGTGGGGTTATGGGAAAGGTGACCTGTAGTATTCTCCTATCTCTGAATAATAGAAATTCTACATAACAACCGAAAATAATTGGATAACTGGGAACCCCAAATTGGCTGAGATCAGTTTGTGTCTGCCTGTTATTAGCTTAGAAAATGGACTGAGAGTGGGAATACTTTACAAAAGCATAGATATATAGATAAAGCAACAGTTGGCAGGCAGAATATGTGAATTTTAAAAGCACATGGATTTTCTTCTAATTATATTTCTCTACTGGAAAGAAGCTTATTATTTTAATTTGCATTTTCTTTATAAATTTTCTGTATGAAAATTTCCAAACATACAAAAAAGTTGATAAAATGATATTATGAACATTCATATTGTCATATCTACATTCAAGAATTAACATTTCACTACATTTGCTTTTCTTTCTATATATCTTTTCTAAATCCTTTAAATTGCTTCAACCCTAAACACCTCAGCATTCATCTCCAAAGAAAAAACATGCAAGAGGGAGTAGCTAAGATGGCACAGAAGTAGGAGGACCCTAGGTTTCTCTGGTCCCTTGATCTCAGCTAGATAAATATCAAACCATTCTGAATACCTAAGAAATCAATCCAGGGACTAACAGAACCAAACTGCACAACTAGGAGAGAAGAGGCCACATTGTGGAAGGTAGTAGGTGCAGAGATATGATTTGGGGGAGAAGAGGATGACAGGTGCTATGGAGGGGAAGGAGTCCTAGTCATGGAGAGAGGTGAGAGAGACAAAAAGGAGCACACAGGGGATTGCACAAGGAAAATACATTCCCAAAGCCATTGACGAGGAAAATGAAAGGAGCTTCTTGTGAGTTTTTATACCCATGAGGCTCAAAGACTGGAGTTCTAGAGGTCTGCAACATGGCAGGTGTGGAGACTGGCAGGTGCTGCAGTACCCCTGGTAAGAAGGAAGGCAGATAGCTCAGAGGACGGATGGTGTGACCTGAGATTCCCTAGGATGTGCTAGGAGAGTGGGTTCCCCCTTCTTGGAGCTCATATAAGAGAGGTGGTACTGCTTCTCCAGGGACAAAGGAGCATGTGGGTACCATGTCTCTCCCCTGCTGTTCAGCAAAAACTATCTTTAGTAAACAATGCCAAGAGTGGTAGAATAAACTCCTTACACCAAGTCCACCACTCCCCCATCCTGGGCTCCCCAAGTCCTGCTTTTTTCTGGCAAGTGTGCCTAAGAACAAATGCAATTGGCCCCTCCCCCTGAAGACCAGCACAAATTCCCCACATAGGCACCTCATTTTCTAACCACAGAGTGCTGCAAACTTCACTTCTAATGGAAATAGCATCAAGTCTCTTAACAAGCAGACAAGAGCACACGTAGTTAAAAAAATTGCCACACTCTGGACAAGGTCCAAACACTCCCAAATGTAGGAAAGGAGAGCCTTGGTAGAGGAGTGACTTGAAAAAGATAAGCCAAAACACCGCAGCAGAATGCACACACCATAAACCAGAGACATGTCCTGAAGCACCAGGATCTGAAGAGTATACAACCTCTTCATTCTAAAGCCATTAATCTCAGGAGCAGGAAACTTAACAGGCTTCCCTAACACACAAAAGAAGACAGGGACCTAGACAAAATGCCACGATGGAGGAATTCATCCCAAAAGAAGGAACAAGAAAAGGTCACAGCCAGGAATCTCATCGAAACGAATATAAGTAATAAAACTGATAAAGAATTTAAAATGACAATCATAAGGATGCTACCTTGGCTTAAGAAAAGCATAGAAGACACCAGGGAATTCTTTATCATGAAGATAAAAGACCTAAAAATTAGGCAGGATGAAAGAA